CTATTCTTATATTTGATCCTGCCGTGCAAGCCGATGGTGATCCATTCCAAAGAGGACTCAAAGCGGTTAATATTTTTGATCATTGTTTTTACTTGAATTCTTGTCACCTATGGAACTAGCATAGTAGAATCTAACTCATCAAAAACTGCATCTTTTGACGATTTTGTTGGGCTTTCTGATTATGACAACAATGTTCAAGGTAAATCAGAAGAGTTTTGAATTCAGAGATGACGAAGATATTCAATTATGCATTCGAATGAAAATTATGATAGTGCGATGGTGTTTGTGTTTTAATCTTTATCGGTTGTTTAAGCGTGCGAGTTTCATTGAATGGGATCGTTCGGATCAAGTTCCAAAAGCAATTCAAGATCTTTATCCTCTAGCAAAAGACACGAAGGTTTGTTGCATGCCGATGGTATCCATGACTCAGCTTTGAGCTGTCATTCAGCTTTCCAACTGTCGATTTTCAACGAAAAAGACGATTTCGAATTCGATTTATCAACTTTCTAATGTACCTGCATTGCCATTGCAGATACATTAGAAAGTTGATAAATTTTTTAATTTCATTACCCTAGTGAGCTAACAACTCTCCGCCTCTTCTGTACTCAACCGTGCAAAATCGGACATTTGTACGATTCACGCCAAATTTTTTGACGAATTTGCCATGAAAAGAAGTGAGGCAAAGTAATCGTGTGATTGTATTTTCGACGAATTCAAATTGCTCAATTCAGATAATGCTCGGTGTTGTATGGCCTGATAAGCATGTCGCTTTCCCCGACTTCTCAGACAATAGAACGATTCAGTGGTGGAAGAATGAAATCAAGCGCTTCCATGATCAGGTTCGATTGGTCACATCTTCAGTTGATTGTATTCAAATATGACTTGAAGAATTAATGAACTTCAGTTCTTCTTCCGCTCATTTTGAATGTGATTTTTATCGACAATTTAGTTGGTTCGCCTTACCATAAGCAAACCGTTTGCATTTTTCCTGAGATTAATCTTTTTTCATGATTCCAATCCTGGAAATATAATTTTAGATCAGTTTTGACGGTATATGGATCGATATGAATGAACCAGCAAACTTTGGGACGAATAAAAAACAC